GTGTGCAAGCATTGTGCAACACGTTTTGTTTATGCTAACAGCAACACGGCCAACATGTCATGCTAACCCCGAAATCCCACATGCTCCCACATATTAAATTCAAAGCAGCAAAACATGTGGAAATGATCCATGGTTTCCGTGGATCATTAAAAAAATAATTACAATTCATTCATTTTTTGGGGGATTTTTTCATGAATTTTTATGGGATTTCGGTGTAACAATCAACATATACCGAACCGAACCGAAAACCATGACCACGAAACCGTGAACCGAAATGGAACCGTGGATTTTGTGAACCGTTCCACCCCAGACCCTTGGCTAATCCTTGGCTGGTCCTTGACTGGTCCCCTACAATTCAATTTTTAAACATCAATCTTTGTATTAAAATATTCTTTCTGTCATGATTTCCCGATATTAAGATCTAAATGGAAGTGCCATCTCCTGGTCAGACTTTGTAATTCAGTGAAAGGGGGGACTCGGAGTAAAAAAATATGCATACCCAGGAGGTGGAAGGGGTCACTCCAGTGGCTGGAAGTGGGCAGCCAGTCGGCTGGCGTTTGATTGGGAAGGGTAATTTTGAATGGCTACTACTGTAATAATTTTATAAAGCTGAGACTGTTACCCCTCCACTCTCTTGAAATAGGGGTGACAGAAGCAGGAGTTTGCCCTCCAACCAAACGACTCATGGTTTATGCTCCAGCCTTGAGTCCTTGTGTGCTTGGCCAAGACACTTCCCCCACATTGCCAACTGATCAACATCAGTTGGCACATTGTATTTTTGGCTACAATGTGGATCACCACCATTAGCGTGTGAATGGGTGAATGATTAAATGTGGTGTAAAGAGCTTTGGTCAAGTCTCCTGACTTGAAAAAAACGCTATATAAGTACAGCCCATTTACCATGATAGGAATCACCATGACAACCAATAACGTATCTCCTTAGTCTATGGTTTGATTCCTATTTTAATCAATCAAATCTTATCTGTAAACTTTGAAATAACAATTTGGGTTATTTCTAACATCTGCTTATTAATAAAGAGGAGATTCATGGCTGGTTTCTCTCTTATCTCTCTGTTTTGACTATGCAAAACCATACTTTTTTTTTTTTCGCCGCTGATCATTTGATGACACATTTAAAATACCGGTAGTAGATTTTTGTTTTTGAAAAGAAGATGCACAACTAGGTAAAGATTAATTACACGCATCCTTCTTTGTAATGGAGGCAAGGTAGCTAGCAGCTCACAGTTTTAATAGCTTGACAAGCCTGATTAATAATTGTTACCACTCAGGTTTAGTTCTACTCTGATCAAATCTGCACTGAGAAGGAAGAGCAAGTCTGCAGACTCCAAGCTGATTGGCTGAAGTGACACCTTATACCCGCCTTCCAAAGCTTAGTTATAGCCAATAGCAGAGGGAAATGAAAATAACAGCACCTGCAAAATTTGTCAATTCTATGCCCTGTTATTTGTATCCCACCATTAAAACGGCCTAGAAGGAAAAGTGAGGAGGCAAATAGTGTACGAAACTCTTAAACCTCTGCATCCACGATGTTGTTGTCTATATTTGAGCGTGATTCTTTAATCCTTTCTGATCTCTGAGCTTCTGCTGCTCTCCTTCCCATCTGCAGGAATGTATTACATCGACCCCAACCAGGGGAGCTCAGCAGACGCATTGCTGGCCTACTGTGTCTTCACCTCCTCATCAAAACAGACCTGCCTTCACCCCGAACACTCTCAGGTATGACGTGTTGATGGGAAAAAAATTCAACTATTTGCTTCAGTTAAATAAACTCAGATTGATGGATTTCACTGAGGCGGCACTTTATTTTTATCTTGGCAAAGAGAGAACAGTTCATAATACAGCCCTTATTGACAGTAATCTCCCCTGTTCTGATCGAGGAGCCTTGGTTCCCCCTTAAAATAATGGAAAGTAGTCGGAGTCAAAACAATTTCCAGACACTTTGGTTAAACAGTAACATGTTATGAATAAACCTTGAGAAAGATTCTGGTTTGTTATGGGGTATGAAGTAGAAGGCGTGTCTTGTCAACAAACATCCTCATGCTGGAGAATCGTGTTGCCTTGCAGGTGAAACAGGCTGAGTGAAAACTTTTATAGTGAGGAAATAGCATAAATTAATATATGAAATAAGAAAAGCTACATTTTCCGACCACAGAAGCCACCACCCGGCGTGGGTTGTAGGAAATTACAGGACATCTCTGCTGACCTGAAGGAGCTTTTTCATACCTGCTCCAGCTCCAGTTTAATGACTTGTAGCAGGGACACACTTTTGTTTCAAACCCTGAGACTTTAAAGGTGACGATTTGATGGAGTGTAAATGCTTTTTGAAGGATCAGCACACAGCATCATGTTTTCTACCTGTCTATAAACAATACTGACCTGAAATGCCTGAATGTGACTGAATGAAGCTTCTGACTGATTTATCTGCAGCTTCCAATGAAAGCTTGGATGGAGGAATCAGAAGATGGATCTTTTCAATGGCTTAGCAGGCTGGATCAGGGTCATCAGGTGAGGTATAACCTAAAAAAAGAAATCCTAAAAGTCACCTAAATTTTATAAAAACTTCAGAGAAAATGTCTTAAGTTCAACTATCTTGCCGTCTGGTTCATGAGTGACTATAGGAGAGAACGGCAGCTGGATAGACGGATTGGGGCTCCATAGGCAGTAATTCAGCCATCCCTTCGGTCTATTGAGCCGAGCCTAAAAGCAAAGCTCTTGATTTATTGGCCCATTTAAGCTACGACCTTTTCTTATGGTGATGAGACATGAGTGAGGACCAAAGGAATGAGATCCTATATACAAGTAGCTGATACAAGCTTCCTCTGTTGGGTTGGGCTAGTCCTTACAGCCAGGATGAGGTGCTTCATCATCCTGGGAGGCTTGGAATAAAGCCACTGCTTCTCATCAAAAGGAGTCAGTTGAGGTGGTTCTGGAAAACTGGCTTGGAACTCTTTTTTTCTTGCATTTGTTTTCACATGACATCCCACTGGATGGTGACTCCAGAACTCCCTGAATGCATCATACATCCCAAACAGTGTTGGGCACGTTACTTTGAAAAAGTAATTAGTTATAGTTACTAGTTACTTCTCCCAAAATGTAACTGAGTTAGTAACTGAGCTACTCCACGATAAAAGTAACTAGTTAGTAGTAAAAGTAACTATTACATTACTTTTGCGAGTGTATGAAATTAATAACTGGGGATGTCTAATTCTGAAATCCTGTGTTTGGGTTGTTATAGATACTGCAACATGTAGCTACATCCATCCATCCGTCCGTCCGTCCGTCCGTCCGTCCGTCCGTCCATCCATCCATCCATCCATCCATCCATCCATCCATCCATCCATATTTCTCCCTTTCTCCATATAGGCTAATGATCGTTCACGCTCTCCGTAGTTCCCCTGCGGCGCGAGCACAGGGCGGCTGTTACGCGCCTTTATCAAGAATGCGTGTTTCCTGTCGCTTGCGCGGTGAATTGTGCCGCCACGCTGCGCGGAGATGCAGGGGAAACCGTATCTGATGGAGAAACGCAGCTCGACGTAACACCAGTATTTCCATCTGGAAAGCGCAGTTTTGCCGCTGGAGTCCTCCTCACTCTCCATCCTCCCCTCTCTCATGACAAGGCGTGCACGAGTCCTATCATGAAAAAAGGTTAATAATTCGACCTGAGTAACGTGCAGTAATGGGGTGTCGGCAATTGTAACTGCTTATAGTTACAGTAAGAGTAATAATTTTGATTACGCGTTACTAAAAAAGGTAGCAGCGTTAGTAACGCCGTTACTTTCAACGCTGTTACTCCCATCACTGATCCCAAAATACTTTTATTTGAGTCAGTCAGCCTCAAAATGTAGCTGTAAGCTAGCAACCCTTCAACAAGACAGAAAAAATGCCTCCAACTAAAGTTTGTCTAAGTCTAAACAGATGGGCTTAGTGATGTGAGAAAAAAATGCAACTTTATCAATTAATATTAAAAGGAAAAAAAAAAACATTTTTCAAAGTACTTTAAGATGTTCATATGTTAATTGGAATTCTGGTGGCATGTTTGTTAGTTTACTTATCCAGGTGCCAGTGTGGTCCAGATGCGCTTCCTGAGGTTGCACAGTGTCACCGCCGTGCAGAAGGTGACCTACTCCTGTCATCCAGGACATCATCTGGGTCAGGAAGAGAGAGACGTCAAATTCCTCACAGATACGATGAGGCAGAGCTACCTCGGAGAGCTGAAAGACTGTGTGGTATGTGAAACCATGGAAAAATATGTTTGGCTAGCTTTATTATAGTTAAAACTTAGATATCGGAATAGTTCTATTGAAAACTTAAAAGCTTGATCCAGTTACAGTTTGAATTCAGGTAGAGGTCGACAGATCAGACTAAACAAAATGAGGGTAGGTTTGACCTAATTAGAACATGAAGAAAACAGATTTAAATTGAGAAATTGCCACTGTATTCTTGCCTCTGCATTTAAAAACAAATTTCTTCAATGTGAGATCAATAAAGTTGAATTGTTATGATTATTATTAAGTATTCAAGATTCATTATATCTGACATTACCATTTTGGCCCACATAACAAAATGTAATGTAATGATTCACTACCTGTTTGTGTTTTTTGTTCATTGTCAGATCTTGGTGGGTTTTATGGGTAGAAAGATGTTTTCTTTGTTGTTTAGTGTCTGGTTTTAGGGTCTTTCCAAGGGGTCTGCAACCTGCAGCTTCAGAGCCATAATTGGCTCTGGTTTTAGTGTCATGATTTAACTAAGGTCTGACCCAAAAAGCAGAAAAAACAATTCAGAGAGACCAGGGAAAAGGTTAAACAGGTTTATTGAGGAGATAATGAATAATCTGGTGTTGCTCTGAACACTGCTCAACCAGAACTGGAAAGTGAGGGGAAGACACTGCGGTTAGTTCAGGCACAGTGGGAAAATTGATTCTTGAACTTGAAGAGAAGAATTAGGTGCTGACTCACTTTTCCAGAAAAGTGGTTGACTCTATGACTCCTGTCTGTGTGCGGTAGTTACATTGTTTGTCTCATTCGGTGGAGGGCGGACAGGGTTTACCCAGAATGCGGTTGTTTGTAGGTGAACAGAGAAACTGACTGCCACTTGGATTTCCTGCTGTACTTGAACGGATTGGTGTGGAGATGTATCCCTTGCTCAGTGTGAAGCTCAAATGATCCCTTGGAGGAAAGTAGATCCAAACCTCCAGTTTGAATCCCCAGCTCAGTTTTAAGCGCAGATGATCCTTCCAGGGAGAGAAGGTCCGAAAACATCCAGTTTGCAGAATGACTTCCTGCCGAGAGGCAAAGACAAAATAACTCGGTTAGGACTAAGGTTGACAAAACTCAGTTTGACTCAGTAAAAACTCAGCTTGGCTAGAGTACCCAAAACTGGCAAACACTCTGGCGTCGAGGTAGTGGCAGTCAGCAGCTTAAGAGCACTCTGTTTACAAGGTAACCCTCCGCAGGTGTGTGAGGAGGCGGACCAGCACCAGGCGCCTCCTGGTAGAGGAAGGGAGACAAACACAAAAACACAAACAGGAATCCTAACATTTAGAGGCTTTACCTGTTTTGTTTTTTTTTTTTAAGTAAAATGAAATTTAATTTTTACAACAGACTGAAATAAAAAATATATATATATTTTATTTTTTAAGATGTTTTTTTAACATTACCTTGGAATCTATGTGCTTTAGTTGTACATAATTTTCCACATATAAACCTCCAGAAAATCCATGTTCACTCTTTATGCGAAATACCTTTTTCTTTATTCTTAAACCTGGCTATTGTTCTAAAACATGATTATTTGGATTTTGAAGTTTGCAGACTCCCTGTTTTGCCATAAAATAGCCGTGTGGGAAATAGTGTTTTAATCTTTTTCATTTCTTTGAATTTTCTAACACAGAAGATTAAATAAGCATCAAAATGGCTCTGGTCCTAAGACTTCCTACAACTTACTTAAAAAGGCAAACAATGTCTTGTTTTTCTGCTTGACAGGCTGGAGAGGAGAAGCTTTTCGGTTCTCGGGAGTCCGTGTTGGAGTTTGAGGACCTCCAGCTGCTTCCTCTTAGAGACGTGGCGGTGATGGGAGGCAGAAACTTTACACACCATTTTAGTTTTACGTTTGGACCGGTGTGTTTCAGCTAGAGGGAGCGGAAACACGCTCCCTTCCAGATCACTCAAATCCAACAGGAGCTTTTTTGTTTAAATCAACGAAAATCTTTCTCTAATTTCTCAACAGTTCACACATTTTCTCATATTGACCTTAAGTGACTCCTTAGGGATGAATTTGGAGGCGTTGCTTTTAGTGGAAAAAGTCATTTTTGTTTACAGAGACATTTATCTGGTACAAAATAAATTAAATATGTATGTTTTTTAATGTCGATATGCAACATTTTTTTATTGTGATGTTCACATGGGGAATCTTTTATAGGCTGATTATCTGTATATAAAAATCAGACCAACTTTAGTGACCTTCTAACCATTTCCTAGCAGGCCGGTTCTGTCTCACTAATGCGACTGTAAGTGAACCCAGTTTATCACTTTAAACAAAGGTGCTTTGTTAGAAAGACAAACATTTATTTAAATCTTTAATCAGACAAAAAGATGCAGATGTCGTCTTAAACTTGGTGCTAGCTATTTACTATCTGTCCTTGTTTTAAAAGATGCAAAGCATTTTATATTTTGATTCTGTATTGTGTATATGTATATTTTTTTTCTTTTACATCTCAGGTATGACATACACACACAGGCACTTCATCTGCTGTTGTCCCAGCATGTTTTTTTGTTTTTTTTGTTTGTTTTTTTACAGTTTGTTGTCAAATCTTTGAATCTAAACTTAATAAACTTGAAACACCAAAATAATAAAAACTTTATTTTCTCAAAATCTGTCTTTAGAAGGTTCAACTGTTGAACTGTCTCATAAAACTGGACGATGGACCCAGTATTCAGGTGAGTCAGACAGTGGGAAGTTTGAAAACGTTTTAACGGCAAAAGTAAAATAAAACGGAACAGAACAGAAACCGGGGCTGCTGTGATTCAGCGGACCTGCAGCGGCTGTGGGGGAAAGCAGAACATCGCTCATCACTGGAACTCTGGCTGTCGGAGAAACACAGGAAAGTGACCACGATAATCTGACAAAAGATGATTATCCATGTGAGTCACTTACCTGGTGAAAGAGTTCAGTCCATCTAATCATCAAAAGCAGGATCAGTCAATGCACTGCCATGAGAGATGCGGCGTTGAGCCGTCCCCCATGCAGCAGCCCCAGTAAACAGGCAGGAGACCGATCCAGGTCAGGGAAACAGTATAGAACAGGACCGTTCTGAGATCCAGGAGTCTGTAGCTCCACCAAGGGTTCCGATCCAAACAGGAACAGACAGATCCAGGGTTCTAGGAATCCACAGAGCATGAAGACAGGTTCAGAGTTCCAGGAGTCCAGCAGCGAGTTCAGACAGACACGCTCAGATGGAGACATGCAGATCCAGTGGTTGAGGAGGACAGAGACAAGACATGGTACCAGAATAACTACCAAACTTTAAACTGCCAGGATTACAGGAATTAAAATTGACCCCCCCACCCTGTTTAGCATCCAAATATCTGATATTTTGTTTTTCTCTTGTCTCTTTCTCTTGTCATGATGCGCTGTCAGCTGGTAGAACTTCAGTTCCCTCATCAATCCTTTATCACTACCTCTAGTATATCGCAGTCCTTCCTTTTCATATAACATTATTATAAATATCCTTCAATTACTGTTTAAAGGTCAACTACTGTTTAAAGGTCTTGTATCAGGCTTTTTTCATGCAAGGCAAGTTTATTCATATGCTAAATTTAAGTAGCATCAAAATCAAAGCATGAAAACGAAACAGCAGTGAC